TTTGTTTCACCTCATTTTTAAGGTTAACTGCCGCCAGTGGTACCACAGCTTTACAGTTAATGGGATTCATGCAACAAAACTATGAGGCTGAACTTTTTCTCCTTAACTAGCAACCCAGCAATGTAATCAATTCCAACAAGCAGTACTAAGATGGCGTAGAATTAAATCATTGTTAGTAATGTTTGATTTCACAGTGACTCAGAATATAATGAATCCATTAAAACAGCTAACTACCTGTCTCTGGGCACGTCTAAGGCGGTGTTGTAGTCAGGAGGGCCTCCAGGTAACATGTTGAAAAGCAGGTGATTCATCCCTTTATCCCATCTGCCGAAACACAAACAGAGGTTAGAGCTGGAATAACACATCCAGTAACGTATTACTTAAAAACCTGAAATTTAAATAAAGGCAGCTTCTCTTATTACCTGTGTAAAAGTTTGTTTATTAAACAGTGGTATGAATTAATGTCGGCTAAAAGTAAGGTCTTGTGGCATTTCTGTCTTACGTGTGCATTACCTGTATTTCTGACATTTTAGGATGTTATTGATTATTCAATATATTATCAGATGCCTAACCTGAACAGTATATAGTAAATGTTTCATTGAAATCTTTTGGGGATTGAAATGTTTAATAAAGAGCAGTCAAATTAGTTAGAGGTAAATTCTACTACAAGGTCAAAACTGAAAGGTAGGTCTACAGTAAACACTCACCTGGGTAGCAGCGCCAGCGCCTGGGCAGTCTCTCTGATCCGCAGGGAGTTCTGATTCAGCACATCAATAGACGGGACGAAAAGACAAGCCCTGGTGACGTCGTCGGTGTAAAAGTCACTGTCCGAGATGGCGCTGAGCAGATCGTTGTATTCTCGAGACAGTCCAGTGCTGCTGATTGGAACTCCTAACTCATCCACAAACCTCTGCAGAGGGTAAATGTAGACCTACAAAACCAGAAATTCAAAAAATGAGTCATAGCTACAATTGCAAAATATCAGCGCTCAGTGACGTGGAGGTTGCTGTGAGAGGCGGTTTACCTTTATTCTGTTCTTAGGATTGTAGCCACATCTGTATACATCGAAACACGTGTGCATGCGACAGCTGAGGTCCCCCCGCTCAGGTATCGGACTGGAAACGGGCAGCCGGATCAGAGGAGCGTCGTGGACGCTGCGTTTATCGAGGGTCCAATCAGCTGTAGACTCAATGGAGTGGGGCCAGAACTGAAACATCCCGGTGGCGATTAGTCCGAGCAGCACCACGGAGAAGAGGGTGATGTAGTAGATGCGGTGCTTGGTTTTCATCCGCGGGATTAGGGCCGGACCCCGGGAGCTGTACTTCCCCGAGGCATACATGTCTGACACCTCTCTGTCCAACCAGCCGCTGCAAAGACAGACTTCTGATCAACCACAACTTCATGAACCGCTCAGACAATAAGACGTGAAGTTTACTGTCAGAACTTTAAACCCCTTATTTGACCCCCAGACTAGAGGATTAATTTCTGTTATCGGTCCCATGGTTCAGGTCTAAAACAAAGGGGGGCTGTATTTGTACTGTTTTAGCCCCAAGCTCCCAAAAACCCACATATACAGACTAGTATTTGCATGAATTTGTATTCTTTTCTATTAGTATTTTTACTGTTATCCTATTTGATGATTGATTGTTATTACTAATGTTTTATTTTGTTCCTTTAATGTTCCATTCTCGTTTTCAAAAGGTTTGTACATGTTGATGTTCTGTAAACCACCTTCTAACTCCAGTTTTGAACATGTAGAACAGAAACAACGTCCAATATTTTCATCATAATCACACTACTTGGGTTAAAACCATCGCCTGTAACGTTAATGAACACAACCAGGAGTTCATATTCTGATTCCAACCCCTTGGCTGTAGACAGCACGTAGCTAAATAACGTCAATTTTGATCATAAAATCCGCCGTGCCAGTTCTCCCAGGTCAACATATCGACCACAACGTGAAAAAAATAACATCTCAAGGCTAAAATAACCTTCAATTTCAACGCCCAAGTGTCAGAGTTTAACTGGGAAACGAACAGCCGCTAACGTAAACTAGCAGTTAGCTTAAACCAGCTGTGTAAACATTCATGCTAAGTTGTCCCGCTAACGTCACTACAACACGTTAAAAACCAAACACAAGGCGATTTATTTGTTTACATTTATACTCACCCAGACGTTTAACAGAACGGCCAGTTCGGTCTTAATTCATGGCAACGATTAGAAAGGAGGCTACACTTAGAAATACAACGTTGATGCTAACCTAGCGTCAAGCTAACGTTAGCATCGCCAACGGAAGTCGCTCTTCTTCGCGTCTTTGTGTGTGTGTTTGTGAATCTGGAACATCGGCGCTGCTCTGCCCTCCAGTGGCGGTGATGCATGCGAACACGTACTGGTTGTCACAGGGTCGTGTGGTGGTGGGAGCCCCGGATTTGAACAGGACTGTACTCTTACAGATTGTGTCATCCGATGCTTGAATGTTAATATTATGCACATTTTTATCCCACATAATTCCCTTTCTGACAGAGATCTTGCTAATCTTTGAATGACATTGTAAAGAAATGTTTTTGACATATTCTGAGCTACATTTGGACAAAACAAAATCTGTTCTTTTCATATGAATTTACATTTACAGACTGTTTTTCTTTTTTTTACACGAGAAGACATGTGAAGGATTATTGGTCGGTTTGAACAACAAATAAAAGCTTTTACTGTAACATGTAGAAAGTTATAGGAGCACTTTTGAGGGAAGAAGTTTTAGGACCATCAATTTTAAATTAATTGACAACGATTACATTTTTGTTTGTTTTTTAAAAAAAAACTGATTTTGTAAGTGTCGTCTAAAATGTATGTCGCATTTGGAGTTAGAGCAGCACCGTACATATAAGTAGCAAGTTTTTGACTAAAATGTCTCAAAGTAAAGTTTCCACCAGACGCTTCCTTCCCTGGAAGGTGATTTTATAATTAGCTTTATGATGACAAAGTTGTAGTCTGTTATGACTTAATGACCTGATCTATTATCTATGCCAGTGAATGCAGACAAATGGAAAAGGGCTAAATCAAGGGTCCAGTCATGTAATAAGACCAAACGTGTTTATGCTTGACTACCAAAGTGCCATCCATCCATCATCCATCCATCCATCATCTCTACACCTTAATCCTCACCAGGGTCATGGGGGGCGGAGTCTATCCCAGCTGACTCAGGGTGAAGGCAGGTTCACCTGGACAGGTAACCAGTCTATCACAGGGCTACACTTAGAGACAGACAACCAAGCACACTCACATTCACACCTACGGACAATTTACAATCACCAATTAACCTCAGCATGTTTCTGGACTGTGGGAGGAAGCCGGAGAACCCGGAGAGAACCCACGCTGCACGGGGAGAACATGGAGACTCCACACAGAACGATTCCCAGGCTGACGTTTAAAGTCAGGATCTTCTAGCTGTGAGGCGACGGTGCGAACCACTGCAGTAAAATACTACGAATCAGCTAAATTAATGTATGGAGTAAAGAGACATTGCTTTGTTTGTTCACATACCTTTAAATTAAGGAAGTGTCTCATTCATCCTGAAAAATAAACTTGTGTTGGTAAAACTTTCTGCATCAAACCTTCACTGTGTCCTTCACACACTGATGAAGACAAATGGAAAGAACTGTAGTCTAAAGAGAGATTTGCTAAATAATAGCACATCTTACCTGACAGTAGCGCTGTAACTGTTGTTGTTGCTGCTCCGAGTACGAGTACTTCCATTAGCAGTATAATCCAGCAGCTTGTAGTATCTTCAGCTGGTGTATCAATTATTCATTTAAATACTACAGCTGCTCTCTGCAGACCTTTACAACCTGCCTCACAAGTGAACTCCCACTCTGATCGTTGATCTCCTCAGTACTGGGCCTGTTCCAAAACCCACATTTGTGGTTCTGAGCACTTCAGTGAATGTTCACAAGTCTACAGTTACCGTGTCCCACATCGGAGAATCCCACATTGGAGAAAAGCCAACGTACAACGAAACTAACTTAGACTTGGCTGACGCTCACTCCGCAGCGTGGAAACTCTCAGAGATGCATCACACAAGTAGGCACTCGTAAGTACAGGTATTAGGATTACACTTTAGTGTACATTAGGTAATATCAGGATGAAACAATGTGGTGGGGCTTATATAAAAGAGTTTTGTGTCTGTGCTGAGACACATACAAAAGTTTGACAAGTTATGAGAACAATAACGGCTTAAAAAGACAAATTCACCAGAAAAAAGTAACGGTTCAGTGCAAGATGTTCATACGGGGACTGTTCAGTATAAATGACACCCAGTGGGGTATATATCATCTACATGTCATGCAGCTTTATTGATGCAGTAGGTATTTTTTAATTAAAAGCTGACATTTGACTGATCGGCTTCATTTCGAGTCGGGCAGCGACCACAGATTACCCAAACGGCCTCGTGTCCATCATTAATAAACCCAACAAGGCTCCACGAACAAATAAAAACAAACGCTTCAATAAAACTCTGGCAGGTTATCGGGAGTTCTTGTTTGTTTCAGTGGTTTGTTTTACAAGTACTAAAGGTTCTCCTGCTAACTCAGTAGCTCTGCTTTGTGGGACCGGTCCAGGTGTTACCAAACAGACACCTCCCATCTCTGCTGCCTCGTCTGACCCATGACTCCTCCATAAGGCTCGTCTCCATCAGACCCGCTGTACACTCATAATGCAGCGCACCTACACTTGGGCTTAAAAATAGCTCAAACAGCTCATCTTTACTCGGGATATATCTGCAGTCAGCAGTTCTGAAAACGATGACGCACTCTTTACATCAAAGCTGAGCACAAACTTTTGCAGAGTGAGTAATTTGGCCTCTTATGTGCTGTCCGGCTGCGTTTATCTGAAAGTCAAGAAAAGTAGAACATCTCTGAGGAGAAACTCAGCACAACCTGGACGACAAACATCTAGAAACTAGACATTTGGATGATACTCTGAAAAAGTTGACAGACATCCACAGCTTTGTTTTCCATAGTTTGTAATTTATTCCATTACAGGCAGGGCAGTGAGGGGCAGGGGTTAAATACATTCTCATTGTGGGGCAGGAAAGGAGGGAAGCAAACCAGGTAAACATGGACAAGACATAGTTGAATTATTTCTTTCAGTATAGACCAATTTGTAAATCTGCCAATAGTTTGAATAAATATCTTTCAGATGAAATATTCTTTTTTCTATATGTCGATACTGATATCTTTTAATATAGTCATTATCTCCTTATTGTTATATAGTTGTTTTCTACATGACTCTATTGGAATTAATCTCTTTTTTTCTTAGACATCTGCATAAATAATTACACATAGAAGATGGTGCTGTACACATCGTGGTGGAAAGTACTTCCTTAGTGTGTGTGTGACCAACTGCAAGCGAAGCTACTGAATGTAGGAAATTGCTGGCTCAACCTCAGTGCATCTACTGGGCCTGGCAGCGCCGTGTGAGTAGTGTCAGACTGTAAACTGGCTGGAACTGTCTGCTGTGAGTAACCACAGCAAATCTTATTCCAATTAGAGAGAGCGTGCAGACCGCTCTGGTGACTCCAGGCTCGGCCGGCGGTGGCGCTGCACCAAAGGTCTCCGTGAGAAGGCCGTCGCTCCGCCGTGACACGTTTGCAAAAAAAGCATATTGTCACCATGCCATGGCAGAATGTCAAATACTTTTCCACTCGGACAGAAAAAAAGCTGAAATACAGAACTCCTTACATTTGGGGAAAAAAGTTCCCGTAGCTGTCCTAAAAACTGAGATAAAAACCACTGACATCAAACCAATCTGTTGCAAGAGCAATAAGGATAATAATACCATAAAATATAGCAATAAAAGTGAGAACAACATTAACCAGAATAAATAATGCAAACTGTGAGCCACCTGTTACACCCAGAGTGGTCGGAAAGATGGTACGCCACGCACAGGGTTTAAAGTCGGCGTACGTAATGTTCGAGCCCGTTTAGTCGCTCAGTCCAACCTCAAGGATGTTTGAGATGAACCAGATTAAAGGGAAGCAAACACCTCGACGTCCAGAACGGCCGAGAGCACCTTCAGAACAAGAGAAATGACATCCGGGGGACACCTTCAGGATACGTGGTCGGGTCCTGTCTGGTGACCTGGGCCTCTCAGAAAGCTGGAGTTTCTACACGATGATCATTTCTGGACACGTTTACAGCTTATTCACTGTGGCTTAATGACAAGACTTGTTCTATACCAGCCATGCTACTCTGAAATGCATAAAACATGCAGATTCTGACCTGGGCACATTGCTAAGAGCTCTCCAAAGAGAAAAAATGTACAGTATCTATGAGAGTAGGACAACTATTAGCAAGTTCCTTATTTGTTCGAAACCCAATGTGCAGAGGTTGTAGTTGAAGTGAAAGCCATGGCAGTGTTTCCATGTCACCGGGGACACGTGTTCTGTGGCGCTGCTGTGTAACAGTCTACGTGGGAACCGACAGAATGGCCGGGGAAGGAGATCATGAACTTAGCTTGTGTTTAAATAAAGCAATATCCATATACATATACAAAATTACATCTCATAAATACATTTGGCAAGACAATGTTTGATTTTTTTTGGCAAAGGGGGTAAGTTGAGCAAAATGACGTGTGCAAGAGGAACCAAACGTCGATCTAAGTGGCTTAGTGACGATTTCTCTTCAAGAATAAATAATAATAATAATAATAAAAAAAAGTCTTCATGCACTATAAAGAGTAACCAAAAGACTCAAAAACATCCATAGGCATCTGTAATAACTTTGTCACAATCACTAAATGTTTAAGACACATGGATTCTCACCAATGCAACACACTGACTCTCTTTCTCAAAGTCGATTCTTTGTGGACCTGAGGAACGTTTCTTAATGTCTTCTCGCGTCGGCTTTTATTAACAAATATGTCCGTCTTCACATTCCTGATTTAAAAAAATAAAATAAAACGAAAAGCTGGACAAGTTTCCGGAGCTGCTGAGGGCGCAGGAAGTCGTACATCAACCCAGATGATGTGCCTATGCTAACCTCTTCTACAGTGTGAGTTTGTTGAATCCCTGCTCAGTTAAATATTCTCCCTTTGATTTTTGTCAAGTCAGGGAATCGATGTAATGCGGATGCGTCCCCACATCGTTTTGGAATGGCATTGTGAAGCTACAGTTATTTATATTCACCCAAAAGCAGCACAGCCCCCTGGCATGCAGAGAGAGGTATCTTTTTTTGTTTTGTTTTTTCTTAGTCATTGCAATAGTGTGAAAATGCTATAAACAGAGTTCAGAGGGGACACCTGAAGAATGGATCGAGTTTGTGACTTGGTCGGTCAGGTTCTGTCGTTGGATCTCTGATGAGTGACTGCATTCCACTGCATGCATGTACTGTGATATGTTTTCAGATTTGGATGACTGCACCTCGCCATTCAGAGCGAAGGAGACGGGCGGAGCGCACTACACCATCGACGATAGCGTGTTCTCCTCGGGACAGTGGCAAGGGCTAGATGTTCGTAGGGAGTGGATGGCTGGCGGCGCGCCCTCGCTGGGGGAGAGGTCGTTGAGCTCCTCGGACGACGAGAGAGGGAAGGAAGGGGACAAAGAGATGCCCGAGGAGGGGTCGGCAGATCCAGCAAAAGTGCGTGGGGGCTTGGGGACCAGATTGGGCTCCAGCGTCGCTCTGGCCAGAAGCTGTTTGTCGTCCAACTGCTGTCCATCTCCGAGACACTCGCCCTGGCCGAAGGAGCCCCGGCCAGACTCCGACTCCCCGTCAGACAGCTCCAGGGGCGGCGAGCTGCTGCCGTCCAGCCTGAACAGAGAGTCTAAGTACTGGGCGAACTCCAGCACCGCCTGGCTGGGGTTTCCGTTGGATAGCTGGGGCGGAGGAGTCGAAGCTGTTGTCTCTGCACCTAACTGTTTCTCTGCTGTGTCCAGCTCCCAGTCTTCCTTTTCTCTATCCACTGGTCTGGAACCGATCTGCGGGCTCAGGGGAGCGATGGGGGTGCTCCCTGGGCTGTAGACGCCGGGCATCTGTTGGTGATCCCCATCAGGAAGCATTTTTGGGCTGGCGTTGGGCTCTGGCTTGTAACTCTGAGCCATGACACCCTGGTTCAGAAGAGCTGGGGAATGGTGTCCGCTGTAGCGAGGCGTGGCGGGGGACAAGCGCATGGGGTAATCTGGGGTGGATCTGGATTCCACTGGGGTAAAGAAGGGCCCGACCTCCCCCAGGTGCTCTGGCGTGTCCTGGCAGAGGCAGTCTGCGGCCAGCAGTTCAGTGCGAGAGCTGAGAGACGGGTTCTCCTCCGGGATGGGGGCGTCCAAAGGGAACGGGAGGCTACCCAGCATCGGCGAACCCCGTAACGCAGCTGAGGAGCGTCGGGAGTCCAGACTATAGAGGGACTCGGCGTCTGAGAGGCTCTCCATGACGGCCAGCGGCGCTTTGCGGTCCCTCAGCTCCACCGCCAGGCGCTCCCGGGCTCCACGCAGCACCACAGGCACTGGGGGAGGAGGGCACTCAGAGAAACCGTCCAGAGAGATTTCAGACTGGGCACACGAACTAGAGGAGAGGAGAGGAACGGGTTGGAGAGCCGTGATGGGGGAGAAGAGAGGAGAGGGGTCCAAAACACAAGACAGACATAAAAAATGGGTCAGAACCACTTAGTAGGGACGTTAAGGAGGAGAAAACAGGACGTGTTAGTACTAAAACTAGAACTAAGCTCCACAAACTAGACAAACGATGCAAAGTATTACATAGATGGAAGGAAGAAGAGAACGGGACAGACTGGGAGTGGATCCTAGTGCATGTCTGCTCTTGTATTAGACTCTAATACAGGAGCGCTAATACCAGAACCGAACCATTAGCACCAGGATGTCACACTGACTGGAGACAGGGGTTGAACCAGAGGGGGCGAGGGGGGAGCTGAATACTACCATACGTTTCAACTGCTCTGGTGGTCAGACAGCGTGCATGCGTGCATGAGAGAAGGGAGCACATTATGCAGAATTAGTATTAGCATGCTTTGCTTACCGTAACAATGGTTTTTGTCTTGTTTTTTTTTTGTTTGTTTTTTAAACAAAACAGAACAGACAGAAATGATGGTTTTGAGAGAACAATAGAGTCGGAGTTAGTAGCAGTAGTATTGTGTTTAGTACTGGCTATATAGTTCATTTGAACAACAGCTCAGGATGAGATTTACTCCATTACAAACTGAGTTAAAGGATCAACCTGCTTTAAATATTCTGTGAGGCTCAAACACACCCACGGCGGTGCCTGGCGTACTAACCGAACGCTGCTGTTCCTGCGGTGGTGGGTCGTAGGCGTCGGCTGCTGAGAGGTGGCCGACGTGTCCACGAACATGCTCTCTGGGTTCAAGTCCACTTCTGTGGGGCTCACCATGATCTTGGCAGCGGACAGCAGAGCGGTTTTCCCTTTGTTATAGTTCTCCAGAACCTGTCACGAGCACAAAAGGTGGACACAGATGGCAGATAAATGCACGATAAGAGCCACAGGACGTGCATTAGGAAGATACACAAGCTCAGCTCTAACTGGAAAGATGACCTGACGTCCATAGATTATGAACTACAACTGCTCTACTAAACTAAAAAAGCTTGCAAATAAAATAACTATAGATGCCTACTGACTTTTTTCTTTTTAATATTTATATATATTTTGACTGGTTTTATAAAACTGGATGCACATGTCTGTCACTTTACAAGAAACATGTTAATTATACTTCTTTATGTGAGCAGGATATTGACAATTAAAAAAAGGGAAGGCTTAGTGAAATCAGTAGATCAGAGCTTACTCCACTAGGCATTAGGAATTTGGAAATGCACCATCAACACACACACAATCAGTTTTAATCCACACAAAATCATTTATCTGGCACAAGCAGCATAAATAGTAATGAATGACTCGCTCACCCTTAGCAGGGATATATTGGATTTCAGTGACGTTACCAACATACACCTACATTTACCTGCACATGCTGTATGACTGCATCTGATAATAAAGTGTAGAAAAAGTCGTATGTGCAGTCTGAAGGTGAGCAGACAAAATTAAACGCCCACATCAGCGCCACGGTGCCTGAGCGAGGACTAAACTACGCCCATGACGAGGAGAAACAAACCAGCAGACGACCGTGGACGAGTTCTGTTAACCGACGTGAATGTGAACACAACAACAAACACTGATCACATGAGCACACGGTTACATGGAGTTGGTTAACTTTTAATGACGTAAAACATGTTATGGTATAAAAACAGCGAGAGGACATGAAACAACAACAACATGATACACGTGACAACGGAATGACAACAATGTAAACACAGATCGTACAGACAGGTTCAATAAGTTAAAACAATGGCATCAAACACACATGTTTAGGATGTTTGGGTGATGCAGATGGTTATGGATCACACATGAACACATGCTTTTGTTACTTGGGTGAGCGCGACTCAAACGTAGGCACAATGACGACAAAAAATCTATAAATATGAAGGTATACTGGGAGTTCTGCATTAAGCAATAACATAGTGAAACTCCAATAGTCACAGAGGATTCATATCACATACATAATTCATAAAAACACATTAAAAGACATGATTATGACGCGTCTTGGTGGAGGACATGATATGTTTCCGGTTGTCAGGATGCTATCAGTGAAAGTCCTCCACTGTGTCAGTCGCTAACAGGAGGACTCGAGATGCTGTGAGCAGGAGAGTCCTCCACATTCACACATTTGTTCCCCCTCGTTACTTCATCTGCTGCTGCTGCTGATGAGTAATCGACAGTTTGCTCAGGGGATCAGGACTGTGGAAAAAAGCTGAATATGTGCTTTAAAGAATAAAAAAAAGGGAACAGAAATCCAGCAAGAAGAGCTGCAGCCACTGAAGAACTCAGCCAAGGAGGAAGAAAGAGCAGTTAATGTGGAAGAAATTAGGTTACCATGGAAACTTAGTGAACACAAAGAAAACTTGTGAGGTGGAGGGACGGGGTTCGAGCGCTCATGCCGAAGCACTTGACCAAATGTGCTGCTGCTGAGGAAAAGAATGAAGGCTGGACTGAAGGAAAGCTGGACGAGGAATCTCGTTAGGAGGAGGAGGCGGAGTGCAGGTGGGTTTGGACTCATCATGCAGGAAAGGAGGAAGTGATTTCTGACGCCAAGGTTGAAATAGTTTTCATACAACTTCGACCTGTGATGTGTCCCCAGAGCTTCTCACTGATACACAATCAGCGCATCACAAATTTATCTCTTGAATGTATTTTGTTCACATTTACTCGGTTTCAGTCTCCCTGCTTCCTGCTTCTCCTCAGGAACCTTTCGATGGCTTCCACTGAGCGCGCCCGGACCTGCTGCATCCAGCCAGTGGTTTATGTGTAAATGGAAAGAGCAATTATGCCAGCTGGAAGGGCAGGAGTGGACTTTTACCACTTTTTTCCCCCCAGCTGCTGTACCAGTTGAGCTGCTTTGCATGCTGGTCATCTGGGGCTGAGTTAAGTGGAACAAATGGCTCCACCTCCACCTCGTCTGTATCGACATGCTAACCGTCAGATCCTTTAAGATCGTCTTTGTGTGACGACTGACACCAGATCCTGAGTTTTACATCAGGAGATACGTTTCTAATGTTGAACTTTATGTTGTTACTTTAACTACTTACAGCTGTCCACAGAGGCTAACGAAGGCTAACGCTGAGCGTGATCGACCTCATACCACAGACTCTGGAAGGCTGTCTGCCTCTTGTAAACTACCGTCCTCATTATTTTGCAAAGAGCTTTGTGATGCTACGATCTTGACGGGAGGATTTTCTGTCTCAGAACAATTAGACTCATCAGAAGGGATTTCAGGAAGAGGAGCAGCAATCACATCCTCACTGGGGCGACAGGTCGGCGGTTCTGATTGGGGCTGTGGTGGAACGCCTGAATCATCTTCAGCTGGAAGCGCTTCTGAGTGAAGGCTGGAAAGGCTGTTAGAGAGTGAAGGGACAGACACCAAGCATGGCTGAGGGGTGGAAGTACAGTCTGACAGAGGAGGAGGTGGAGGAACAAATTCAGCATCTGGAAAAGAAGGAGAAGCGACGGCAGTCAGAGGGACGGGAACGGCTTCGGGCTCTGAGAGGGAACCAGCACTCGGCAGGTCTTTGTGGGTGGGAGACGAGGAATCAGGAGGAAGAGGACTGGGGCTTAAATCGCTTTCTGAGGGAACAAACACAGTGGAACTGCACGTAGGTAGACTGACTCCCAGTTCCTCTGGTTCCCAGTTTTCCTGCTCAGACAGGGGACAAAATGGTTCCAGTACCTGCAGAAACACCAGAGGCATCACGCTACACGCTAGGCACAGCACACATCAACACACAGTTCACACAGAACAAACAGAAGCATCCATCCAGAGGCACAGGGCAGAACCACAAAGACAGAACCAGGTGGAAACACTCCGTACACACACAGGAACAAACACACCACATGAACTCTGCAGCCACGAGAAAGTGCAAAAACCCAGAGTGGCTCCTTCACATGCAAACACAGTAATACCCCGACATCAGAGCTCAGCGTCCACGACGAACACACGCATAAAGACCCACAGAAGACCACGAAACCAACCACGAGTGAGCGGTTCCCATGCTTTGAGACGGAGCAATGTGGAGAAAACAAAAGGGGTGTTAATGACGGCTCACATGCATGAGCTAACGATGTAGCGACATCACATCCTTCAAAATGCTCCTAAAACTATTTGTAACGCTCAGAAGGCAAAACACTGAATTACAAAAACTCTAAATTATTTGTAATTGTGAGTTGTTTTTTTTTTGCAGTGCAATAAAACTAAACCCTTACAACAACCAATATATATGATAATTCTGAATTTGACTGCTACAAGGTGGATTTAAAGGTCAGAGAAACGATGAATCTATAACTCATCTTCAGGAGTTTTCTCTACAACCATGAAAGTTCTTTACGAGGTTTATTAAGCTGGAAAACTCTGCAGAAAAATATAAAGATATACATATAAAATGTGTATCATGATGTGGTGGGAAAACTACTGGATTCTGTAGTTTATATTGTATTTTTTAAAATATTTTTGAAATCATTTGTCGTTCTCTGACTTATCTACGACTGCAAATGTTGGCATTGGGAGGTTTTCTGTGTTGTGCACTGCTCCAGTCAAATCTATCAGTCTCTCATGCTAACTAATAATAACTAATTAAGATGGACCCTCTGGCAAGACATGTTGCATCTGAAACAACAAACAGCGGCTGGTCTCTAGCTTTAAATAAATAAAGTCTGATCTTAAAATGTCACATTAAAAGACTGATTTTTCCCTTTATGAATATAATTGCTGAAAATATTCATCTGAATTTTGTGGTTAGTTGTAATTCACACATACTAATCACCCATTAATCCAGTCACCCATTGGTGGAAATAAAGATTTAAAAGGCAATTTTTTTCCCACATGTCACATAAACCCACTTAAAAAATCCATTTCCATGCACACAGATGAAACAAACCTTGTTCAGGCCCTCCATCACCATGTGGGGCATGTGCTCGTTAAGCATGGCGGGTGAGATTATGACCTCGTTGAAGGCCTTGTTGTCCCCCCATAGGGCTGAATAGGTCGGTTCCTCCTGCCCACAGCTGCACAGATCGAGAGAGAAAGAAAGCGACAGTCTGTCAGTTACAGTGAAATAAGGTGGATTCAGATGTCAGTTTGTCTCAGTGCACCATGTTTGTGATACTCATTACAATAAGACTTGAGAAGTCAGAACAGACTCACGAGTCTGGACAAAAAGCTCATATGTAAAACTATAGGATGACTCAGTGTAAAGAAAGAAATGTGGATTTGTCCAGCACCTTTACACAACCAGTGTTTTAATAAGTGGAGCAGAAAAAGGAACAAAAACAGGAAAAACAAGAAGAGTCCGACTCCTGCACACGGTCACACCTGCTGTGATAAATGTATTAACGCAATGTTTCAGTGCCAGACCTTCATCAGGAGGAAGTAAAGAAGAAATACTACAGCTAGACGACTGCACTGTTTTTAATTTGATATCAGACTTAACAAAGGCCTCAAGCAGCAACGCCACTGAACTGACTTCAGAAAAGAACATGTTTGGATTTCAGTGCTGGAATCTGCCCACAGCTTTCAAGTCGGTTTCCTCACCACGTCTCTGGAGGATGGTTGTGCACCACGTGGATGATCCTGCCAGGAGGGAAGAGGGGTGTGGAGGCTGACAAGGCGATGCTGAGGTCACTGGGATGCAGCCACAGGCGGCTGCTGGGGGGAGCTGCCGGCTGAGACTGAGGATCATCATCCTCTAGTGGAAGCTCTGACTTCGGGATGCATTTAGTGCCTCCCGCGATGATCCTCCACTGTTGAGGCAAACAAAAAAAATGTATTGTTGTTATGTAAGTCTAACATTTGGATCTAAATTTATCTTGTGTCCGTTGTATGTTTCTCCTGCGGCTTCACTACATGATGCTGTGTTGGTAAAGGCTGTGAGTGAAGCTGCTCTTTATTTTATCAATGCAACATGAAGAGCTGCTGTCTGTGATGGGAAAATGCAAATATGATGTGATGAATGTGATTACTATTTAATCACTCATGCATATTTGAACAGCAGGGCTGCTTTTCGTCAATAGTCGATAAAACACGCAGCAGGTTGTTGGCAAACCAGTCTCATGATTTTTTTATGGTTTCATAGCACAAATGGTGCACAGGTCTGTCCGTCTGTCTGTCATCATAGTACCAGGAATCTAAGTCACCTTTGGCTTGTTACTCTTCTGTAAGACTTCCAGAAGGTGGCGTCGGAAACCCTCCAGTTGTGACAGGCCCAGCCTACGAGACACCAAAAGCTGATTTGGTAATACTGCAGAAAAGTGATGTGAAGCTCAGGATGCTACATGCTGTAGAGCAGATACCTCGGCACCAGGTCTTTTCCTAATACCACAGACGTGACGAACTCTTTGGAGTACTCCATGGCATCCTCACTGGGTGGACAAAAGAAAAATGAACCATAAATGCAGAGGAAGTGATGACGTGAACCATCTCTGTAAACATTTCTAACAGACACACAGCAGCTTTTTGCAATTAACCGTTCACAGGCTGAACACTAAGGTAAATGAATATATGTGTACGACCACGTCCACACGAGGGTCACGAATCTCAGCGCATGGACAAAATATTTAAAAACAAAACTGCCAACAAATGAAAAACAGAACCTGTGACACAGTAAAGACAGAACAGATAATATATTTATATATAGATAATAGAAAAACAGAAACAGTGGACACGATGTTCCCGTTTGCTTGTCTGTCACTCAGCATGTAAACAGCTCAACTCCACGTCTGATGTGCATGTGACCAGATTGTCGAATGTGATCTCAAAGACTTCAAACAGGACGTGTTGCCTGAAAGACGGAGGTAAGCGTCGCTGCTCTTGGAATGGGGCAAACAAGACAGCCGCATAATGAACGCACTTCAACACAAAAAAGCTTTTTCTATGTGAGCAATTACTCCTGATGCTGTAAACGGAGGATTTCAGGGAGCCTATAGAAGGAGAGTAAACAGCATCACGTCAGAGAGTTTGGCACCAAAAAACAAAACAAAAACACCACTTTTGCTTTTATGGTTTCCGACCATCAGCGACAGGAAGAGGCTGCCTGGTCGGATGAGCTGAATGTGCAGCTGTACTCCTACCGGTGCTCCTGCACACCCAGCGAGGCTTAAAGCAGACTGCAGGAGCCACCGTGCAGTGATACGACTGCACAGCCCACTGAGGGGAACGTGACGGCTAATTAGAGGCATTCAAAGACCGTTCAGTGGTGTCATTAATACAGGCACATCCAAGCTCTGATGACACAGGACACCTTAACAAAGAGGATTATCTGTTGCAGCTAATGTGTGGCCTGAGAAAACAAAGAAGAACGTCTGCACGCCGCCTCGCTTCCTGCAGAAATATTTACTCAATCACAATGTTTTAATCAGATGTATACTTAAGGTCAGATATGGCAGCAGTATGTGAGACAGCGTGTGGGAGATCTTCTCATTGTTTTCAAGTCGCACCTTTCTCCTACACACCTGTCAGTCATTCCAGAGGGCAGGAGTTATTTATTTATTTCAAAGAGCCTGTGGGTGCCCACAAGGGAACGGCATGAGTTCTAAGAATCGTGTTTCTTGTCATACAGGAACAATCGGCTGGAAGGATGTGACTTGTTGGAGTCGTTCTCTGATGTAGGTCAGAGACATTCGAGACCTTTGAAGGAAACCTGACAGTAACGTTTGTGAAAGAGACGAACTTTCAACGTATTACAAACGTATAACCTGTTAATTAAATCAGATATAACTGGCTATCATGCTGCTGTTCATGTTTTCTAACACATCTTCTATGTTGTGACCAAAGTCGAACAATCAGCTTCTCTTGGCTTTAATGTTGCACCGACCCACCAGAACAGAACCAACTCCTCGTACTGTGTAAACTCTAACTGGCAATAAACCTGTTTCTGATTCTGAAGGAGCGCTGCAGCATATCTCTTGGTACAAACTCTCTTCCAGCATAATTTGCATAACGAACACAGTTAACGCTGCATCAAGCTGCATGGAAGAGAGACGGTGTTCAAGCTCAGGCAGACAAAACACTGTGAATCATCCATCCATCATCTCTACACCTTCATCCTCACTGGAGGGCGTCACTGGAGTCCATCCCAGGGTGAAGGCAGGTTCACCTGGACAGGTAACCAGTCTATCACAGGGCTACACTTAGAGACAGACAACCAAGCACACTCACATTCACACCTACGGACAATTTACAATCACCAATTAACCTCAGCATGTTTCTGGACTGTGGGAGGAAGCCGGAGAACCCGGAGAGAACCCACGCTGCACGGGGAGAACATGGAGACTCCACGCAGGAAGATCCCGGGTGTCCTCACCGGGACGTGAACCGGCGACCTTCTAGCTGTGAGGCGATGGTGCTAACCACTGAACCACCTGCAGCTCACACTGAGAATCACTAAACCGAAAATAAACGACTCTGTTCAGGTTAATTAACGCCTCATAAACATAAAATGCAAACTAATTGTGTCACACAACATCAATCCCTTCAGACAAAAAAAGTGTTTGTAGCAATTTTAAATAAATAAATTTGAAGTGTCATTAACAGGTTTTCTTTTGCTGAGAGAATCAGAACCAGAATCAGATTTACTGCCAGGTACAGTTCACACAATACGAGGAATGTGTTCTGGTGGGTCAGTGCAACAATACATATAGAGTAAGGTACAATAAATCAAGTTAGGAAATAAACTCCTCCACACTGGGGTGAGCAGAGGAGCGTGGTTTGACAAAGCCAGGCTTTCTTTGTGACTGCTGGCTCAACAAAACCTAAATCTCCGATCAGACAGAACGGCTATCACGATGGTGGTAATCAGCTTTCTTTCTTTGTCAGGTTCTGTGTGTGAGTCCATAAACATCTGATGCATCGTGAGAATCTTCCTCCTCACAGAGCGAATGGATGGCGTGCTGCCTACTTCATTCAAGAGGAGAAAGTTATTATCATGGAGAGCTACGAAGAATATAAAAATTTATTGCGGCAAAACATTGCTATTACTGCAAATGGTGCGACAGAGGAATGCTGGTAGAAAATTGTTCATCATCTGAGTTAATATATTTATATTCCCACTCAGTGACTCATCTGCTGATTTCCAACGTGACTGCTGCACATCAGAGCCGCCACACTTTAAACTTCATACAAGAAGTCTGACGCTGTCCTGTGGAGTCACGTTGGTGTTTGGCCAAACCAAGGTCAAACTACTGCTATTGATTGAATATTCTCTGTGATAAATACCAACAGACCAATCAGTTTAATGAATTAGAAGGCACTTCATCACCAAGCTAACCAGGACAGAGCATAAAAACGCAGGTATGCAGTTTTTTGAATCAGCAGCTGAATGCATGCTGGTTCCTGAGGCAACACGATGCTCACGGCGTGCCGACGGTAACTACACGGCTTCATCTACTGGCATCACTAACACACAGCTCAACACGTCTGCAGATATCATGTATTCACCGGCTGAGAACCCCTGTCGCTCATGGAGACTTCATGGTGCTCAGGACCTTCTACACCTGCATCCTGTACAGGAGCATCACCACCTGGACGGGCAGCTGCACCAAGCAGGACTTCTCGGTCCTGAGGAGGGTGGCCCGTTCAGCTGAGCGGACCATCAGAACCACCCTCCCCAACCTGCAGGACATCTACACCCAACAATGCAGGTCAAGGACTGTGAAGATCCTGAAGCAGCCGAGCCATCCTGGAAACTCTCTCTCCTCCCTGCTGCCGTCAGACCGACGCTATCGCTGCCTGAAGACTGGAACTGAGAGGATGAGGAAGAGTTTCTTCCCTCAGGCGTCCGTTTGCTCGACTCTGAGCTTTAAAACTGGACTGTGCACCTTTTACACATGCACCTTATGTATCACAACAGTGTTCCACTTGCTTATTTGATTATTTATGTGTATATATACAGAAAGTATGTAGACTTCTTTAACATTTATTTATATTTTTTTCTTTTTCTTTTATTCAAACTGGAGGCTGGTATAAAACACGTCACTGCACATTGTACTGTGTATAAATGTGTATGTGACACATAAAGCTGATCTTGAATCTTCTCTTGAGAATCATCGGGACAAGAACGGGTAAAAAGGCGACGCTTCACAGCCGATTTAAACCTGAAACTCTGATGGGAGCAGGTTAGCCGAGAGTCACCTTAGTCTGGCTTTAGGCTCAGCATACCTCACTAGCCCATTACTTTGTTTTGTAGTACAGCCCTCTGAGAGCCAGATGATGAAGGTCCATACCACATATCCAGAGTCGGGGAAAAAAAAAAAGCTATTTCACATTTAATCTCAAGTGTAAACACGGCAGGAAGTGTTTCTGATGAACTGAAAAGTCACGACTCCGCCGAGCAAACTGAGGGTTTGCAGATCCAGGCTGGAGGTAAACAGCGGTGACCGGGGTGTAATCTACGACAGCAGGGTGGAATGAAAGCATCCAGCCCGGGTTAAACACGAGCAGGATTTATAAACACAAACATGGGATTTATGTGTCGACGCGTTCACCGAGCTTTTAATAACTTCCAGCATAAAGCACTCAAAGTGAAAGGCTGATATTTCCTTGTAGTCTTTTTGTATATTGTATAAACACACAGAGACTGACTCACCTCAGAAGGCCACCAGGTGGAGAATAAGAGTAGCAGTGAAGTGTAGGGTACTGAGGTCTCAGCAGGAAGGAGAGGATAGCAGCAGTGCCTGCACCCAGAGAATGGCCGACTATCACCAGCCCATAGTGCATGGTGCCCTTGCTCTGCGAGAGACATCCAGAGTCAATACACTCGCAGCAGCACACTGAAGAGTCACTTTAACCAACTGCCTCCGCTGCTGGTTGTAAAACCAACCTGTTGTATACATGAAAACTAGGATCACAGTGATGCTACGCAGTTAGTGTAGCCTTGAACAAAGCACTACAGTGGTGTCAACACAAAAGCTAGAGAAGTTTCATTATTGCCATTCTTTATGCAGTCATGTACACTGAGTCATGTACCAAGTCTCTTCCAAAAGCTTGTGACAAGATCATTTCCTGCTCCAGTTTCTTCTTAATGTATTCTGCTGAGTAAACCATTCCCTGAGAGGAAAGAAAGAGAGAGAGAGAGCGATTCAGCGGAGGGACGACGGTGAAAGAGGACAAAATATGGACAGGAAGTCTGTGTCATTAGTCTCTCATTAAAATAGCCACAGTAATTATTGCACTATTAGCTGGAATGACCTCTGGAACCTGTGATATAGGTTACTTGTTGAAGCTAGCAGAGACACTTAAAGCTGACAAATCTCAGGCGACTGTTCAGCACAGAATACGTATTACAGGTGAGTCATTCAGCCTCTGACCTTGTGGCCGAGCCAAGTCCCGTGCTGCTCCTCCACGGGCAAACGCTCCGAGTCGCCCGTCAGATCAGTCAGGGCGTCCTGAGACACACAAGGCAAATTAAAAATGCTATAAAGACGGCAGAGAGCAGAGAGGACAAGCGGAAGAAGGGGACGATTAAGACAGATAAAGTGAAAAGAACGTCTGACTGATGAAGGTGCAAAGATTAGATACAGAAATTAAACATAATCTAATAATCTGCACTGTAACGGTGCTTAAATATACCAACACTGTGAGATAATTGTACAAACTCATGAAGGTGGAATACGTCAGACCCACTTTAACTTTATATATGTTTTTTAGTTATTTTTTTGGCCTTTATTGTACAGGACAGTCGAGAGTGAGACAGGACAGTGGGGGAGGAGAATGGGGGAAGGACCTGCAGCAACAGGCCATGAGGGGGATTCGAACCCACGGCCGCTGCATCGGGGACTAGAGCCCCTGTACGTGGGTCGGCAGCTCAACCAGCTGAGCTCGAGCAGCGGCCCTAACTTTATATTTAAGAAATTAAGACTACTGTTCTCGAAATGTTGGTGAAACACGACGCCGCCTCCTGAAGCAGTGATGACACTGGACATCAACACGTTTTGTTTTTGTCACGTGAGGTTTGGTTTCGAGGTCATGATGTTGAAATGCTTCTTTACTCTTTCACCTGCATCGGTAATGCCCTGCTGTGCATGTCCAGCATCAGCATTCTGATTTATGACACTGATAAACTGGATGTTTTGACCAGTTGGGAGCAAAGCTCAATAGGATGAGTAATTATTTTCACTGTGCTATAAAATCATTATCACTCTTTAAGCTCTTGGTTTGGTTCAGTTTTAAAAGACTGCAGGAATTTTCTGGAACTCTTACATAAAGAAGAAGCAGACGGGACATTTATCTCTGAAAGTGGACAGTCACGTTTCTGCTCTATGCATGAAGAGTGTAGGAGTTTGAGAACGCTGCATTCAACCATGAGAACTTCACCTGCTCTGGAGGTGTTGGTGTCGTGAGGCGCTGAGGGGAGCAGGGTCACGAACACTTTGAGAGAGTTGAAGAAATATGATCATGAAAACAAGAAAAGACAAAAAAATCACCTTTGGCGAAAGCGTTCCTCTGATACTGATGACGACTTTCTTCTTCGCGTGATCCACGGCCACAAAAAACGGAGTCTCATAAACCTGCGTGAGAGATTCGAGGCAGAGAGGAGAGGAAAAGCCGATTAGAAAGTGAGAGGAGCAGGGAAGTGAGGAGAGGGCTCATGCCTGTGCATCATAGTTTCACTCGCAGCCCAGCAACCCAGCATTCCTGAAGTCATTGTCACCAAAACCTTCCTCAGCTTGGCACCGCGCAAAGTCCAGTCAAAGAATTTATGGATGGAAAGTCAGCGTTGGTGAACCTCACCCAGAAGCGCTCTGCTTTACACATCACTGGCAGTGTACGGGGTTAGGTTAGTGCAACAGAAAAATAATCCTATACAAATACAATGAACATTTACTTTCTATGTATTTAGGAAACTGATTGAACACATTTCTTCATAGATGGAGCCAGAATACAGAAACTACAGTTTACTGAACTGGAGAGAAGCTATGCCGACTTTACAAACTCCAGTTGGAAATACTGCCAGTCAGTTACTTTCATGCACCAGCTAATCGACAGATGTGCAAGACAAAGGTACAAGAATCCCCAAAATCACCTTCCCCATGAAAAGTCAGTGCAGTCATTGCATAACTGTCACGACACCTTTCCACGGCGGAGGCAGCTCAGACCGAATGATCCGCTGTGATGAAGTGTGACAAGTGCATCGAGTGAGTCGCCCCGTCACTGTGACGGTTTAGCAAAACATTGGCATGACTCAGAACCGAGCCTCATACAACGAGAGCAGAAAGGCAGTCCTGAGGGCAGCAGTGGGGGACACTGTCCCTTCTTCAGCTGCACCTTAAGATTCCTTCCATGACAGCCATAAACAGAACCGTGTGACAAAGTGCAGACTTGATGGAGCTCAACACCTACTGGGACGACGTAGTGCAGAGGACGAGGCCACGCTCTGCTCCCCAGATCTCAGCAGCTAAACTGTTGAGCCAAGTGTGACCAAAACAGACACGAACGACGGCCAAAAAGCCGCCAAACAATTAGCTCCTAGTTTATGAATGTGTAGGACTGCACACCAGCAGCAGCGGCGTTCTTCTTGTTTCCAAGCTTGTGTCTGACATCGTGTGAAGGCCTTTGGGGCTCTATATGGAGAATGATTCACCTCAACGGGTTATTGTTTTTAACAACAAGAAAAAAAAAGAAAACCTGACACTGTTAAACTGCTCCACAACACTCATCCTTTGTTTTATTGAGGAAATAAAGCCCAAACACCTCTGACTGCTCGTTGGCCGGTTGTAGGATTACTCACAGCATCGTGGCAGGATGTGTAGACAATGTGGACCTGCTTGAGATCCCTGTCCAGGAAGTGTCTACGTATGGCCAGGACGTTACAGCCGCAGCAGTTGTCCTCCTCCACCGTCACAGACTGAGACAAGCGAGAGCCAGACACTGATGTACAGCTGCAGAGGAAACGGAGGGACAAGCAGCGACATCACACCAGATCAGAGGTGGGTTTTTAATAAGCAGTAGGGAGAACAGACACAAGAGAAACACAGTAAACGGGTAAGATTAGAGAGATAAAATTAGTATCCCAGCGCATGCAATCTGGATGTGAGTGTGTGATTAATTCGACATTGCTTGTGTTAGTGAGTGGGTCTAACCAGAGTGGTATTGTCTCAGTGGATTACCACTTGGCAAGTGTTGACGCATGTGAAATTTGATCTGTGCTGTAGAGGCTCAAGAGACACAGAAACCAAACAGATCAAAACTGTGCGGGTGTATGTTTGAGTGCTTACGGGCAGGAGCTGGCGAGGCGGCACAGCCCACAGGCAGGCTTCCTCATCAGGTACATGGGCCAACCGTATGCAGCCAGGGCAAAGAGCATGTAATAGCACACGTCTTTGTACATGTTCATCTCAGCCTGGGAGGGGGAAAGGCAGACGGGCAG